TCCACCAAAATAAAGCTCATCTTCAATAACTTATTCAACAGCCCGTATTTATAGCTATTCTTCACAGCAATCTCTGCGCACCAAGCAACGAACGCATTTCATTTTCTCATATATTCAATGTCAGCCACGTCAACTGTCATAAGTTACTCAACTGACCGTGTGTGTTGAAAGCACCGAAAATAAGGAAGAAGCGTTAATTTATAATTTAAACGCAAGGCGTGCAAAATATAACAGGCACAGCCATGCACACACGTTTCCAGAAGTGCTAGCTTCATAATCGTGTTGAAGTGCTGTAAGAAACACACGCACACCCATGTATTTATGAGAACTGAAAACTGTGTGTTTCCTGCTGTGTGTACGCGCATATCACGCATACGCAGCGTACGACAGGCCGTCCTACCTGTTATCCGCAAAACGGGAGATGAATGCAAAACGTTGATGGTTTGCTAAAAGTTTCAGTCGTTCCACGTATGGCGTAAATCTTTTGTGTAAGCCGTGAAGTTTACGGAACTGGATAAAACTTTATAATTGGGTTAATAAAACTGCTTTAGTAAGCAGCCAACGAATTTGGGTGAAGAGGAATTTAAAGTTAATGTGCGAAGTGTGTGGATGACAAAGAAAATGCAGAAAATGCTTAAAAATAAAATTAAATATTAAATTTCAAAATATTAATTTTTTGTTATAGATTTTAAGTAAGTCCGGAAAATAATATTTGTAATTTTGAAGCTAGATTTTAACTACTTTCTTTTTAATTTCCAGCTAACGAAATGCATTAACTTTTAATGTAAAAACTTGCTCTTGTAAAAAATGTTTTTCATTAAGTACATTTTTTTTGCTTACTAAATATTTTTTTAATGCATTCAATTACTCAAACTCAATACTTTTAAGCTCTATTATTTTAATAAGAAATTAAATTCATTTTAAACTTATTATTAATACTCCCAATTATCTTCTCAATCATTAATTAAATTAACCTAACACTTTCAGTTAAAAAAAAACCAATAAAAACCGGTTATCTTCATAATGTTTGTATATCCCATGAATTCTCTTCATTATTATTATTTTTTTTTTTCTTATTTGTAAAAAATATTTAAATGCAAAACCTCGCCCCACACCGCCATGAAGCAAGCGCATGTAGTTAAACCCGAAACTTTTCATTTCGCAACAACAACAACTGTAATTTTTGGCTACTTTTTCGCCAGTAATTTACTGTGGCAATATCGTTATGCAAATTTTTGCTCCACACAAAGTTTTTCACTTAACAACGCCGGCAAACGGTAATTAAATATGCGCACACATATTCTCATGCCACCGAGCCATTTAAGGTTTTGCCGTTTTATTTCAATTTTTTTTTTTTTTTTTTTTTTTTTTTTTTTTTTTTTTTTTTTTTTTTTTTTTTTTTTTTTTTTCACTTTCATTTGTGGCATTTGCAAAAAATATTACATCACTTATTCATAAATAACACTTTAGTGCAAAAAGTAAATTTCATACAAAAAAAAAAAAATCATTCAGGCAATTATGTGGTAAATGTTAGAAATGGAGAAAATGGAGAGAATTGTGTGGCATACTGATAATGAAAAAGAGTGAAAAGGCATGTAAAAATATTTATTTTCTCAAATATGTTGTATTTGTAACGTACTCATGTATTTAATTGGTTAAATGTATGTTTTAACAATTAACAACGTAGTTATGATGACTGTTTTCTGAAGTGCTTTAAATAATTTGAAACCGTTTGCGAAGTGCAATTCCGCTTAAAAAGCGACAATATGCGGAAAATGTTAGTCAGTGGCAGAAAAATGCTATATAAAATGCAATAAATTTTAAGGCAATTTAACTCTCATAATTCACTTGGATGAACAAAGAGATTTTGTACTGAATTAATAATTTTCATGAGCTTTTGTATTACTTTTGTTACTTTTTTATACCTTGAACTAGGTAAATTAAGCTTGTTATCTCTACGTCTGTATATACGTAAACTGACTCCTTTTTATTTGAGATATTGATCTGAAATATTGCACACATTATCTTCTCTCGAAAAATCATACAAACTGACCGATCAAAATCATGTTCTTGCAGAAGAAACTATTTTGCTTGACAAGAAATCTTCACGGTATTTTCATAGATTATACGACTGCCAACCAACGCGAGGAGCGCATCCGCATGCGAGTGCAATCAGCCAAGTTATGAAAGGCAAGAGAGTTTTTAGGCATCGATATCTAAAACTGCTCAGCTACAGAAACAACAACTTCAATAGCTAAGATTCAAACATTTATTATTTATTGAGAGGAGCAATATGACCTTTCTTATTTCGAAATGTGAATCAGATAAATCAAATGTGAGTTAAAATCATGACATATGTAACAGATATTCGTCAAGTTCCAAATTAGAATTACAAAACATTAATAGTAAGGGTCTAAACTGGTGCATGGAGGAAGCATCTAGAATCCCAACGGAAATGCCCTAAGGCGAAAAGTAAAAGTTGTTGGGAGGAGTCTGCTTTAGAGGCTTAAAAGAACCGACTTTTAGAGGATTAAATAAAATATATAATTTATTAAAGCGTAATTTAAATTATATTTAAACATCATGTGCAAGTTTAGGGATACGAAATTTTTTATATTCTGCCTTTGGGAAGCAATTATCGATGCTTGTCGCATGTGCATTTGCCGCACGATGGGCAAGATGCAAGTCGCAATTTCTATTGGAGACAAAAATTCAAAGATATTCATATTTACTAATAGCTTATCCTTTAGTTAAAGTAAAAAAATTCCAAAAATAGTGAAAATTCTACAATTTTTTAAAACCTGCAAAAAAAGTGCATGTTGACCAAAAACATGTTTACTTTAGGTTGTTTAAAAATGTGTGCAAACTATACTTTTCTCAGTTTTTTTTTTTTTTAATAGAAGGTAGTTTAATGTCAAAGATAATGAACTTTGCCCCAACTGCTTGCGACATTTCGTTTTTTTTTTTCTAACCTGCCCGCCAAGTAAAAAAAAATCGTAAAAACGAAAAACTGAGAAATCGCTTATTAAAATTTTTGCTTTCTGCCCAAGCGCTTATATACTTCGAAAAATTTCGAATTCCTATCTATAACTTTGGTGACATACATATCCTTAGATAATTTTCAAAATAATTTAAGCAAAAAAAATATCGATTTTTTGAAGCTTCTAAAGCAAGTTTCCCCCCTTAATCCAATAATTAATTATCAATTTTCATTTTAACCTCACATTTGATGACGGTTAAGTTGACAAAGCCGCTCAATTGGTCACTTCATGTGCAGCCAATAACCAATTAGCTTATTTTAATCCACTTAATGCACTTCATTAAGGTTGTAATGTGAATAAAATATGAATCAAAGATGCTGAAACTGCATGTATGTGTACACATACATATTCACTAGAATACGCACCTACTCATATTTACTACACACACTATATAAATATAAAACTCTGCTTCCTATGAAGTCTTTCACATGACTGTCAGTATTTTTAAATATTCGCTACAATATATTTTATTTCAGATACATTCAACATAAACATGCTTTAATCTTATTTCAGTTTATTTTTATATATATTTATTATTGTATAAGCATTTTGTTAATAATATAAATTTGAATGCATGTCTGCGTTTGACGTCTAAAATTTTATCTAAACATCAAACGTATTTTTCAATTTCTAAAACGCTGCTAAATTGTGAAAATACTGACAAAGAAATTCAAAGCTTAGTAAACTGAGCTCAGCGCACGACTAAAAAAAATATTCATTTGAAGTCTATATATAGAATTCAGTGTGCAAAGATTATAATTCCGCCTAATGCCATGACAATTTTAGCTTCAAAATATGCAACTATTTTAAATTCAATAAAACCACTTGAGCGATGTCAATTAAAATGCTTAAAATGCAACATCGCTTTGGAGGCTCAATATTTAGTTGTCAGTGTTAGTGCACCCTGTAAGAAATTTTTGTTCAAAAAGGCAAGGTGGCGTACATTGAAAAAATATCACGAACTTGATTGCACTTAAATAGAAGCTTAAGTTATTTGTTATCACTAGAGTAGAGTCGAATGTGTAAGGGGCATACCAAGTGTGAAATATTGAAATATGCACCTCGCTCTGGTCGACCAATGATTGAAAAAGTCGATGAAATTATAGAAAAAATTGATCAGGACCGTCACATGAGCAGCCATGACATCGCTAAGGAATTAAGCATTCATCATCAAACGGTTTTGAATCGTATGAAAGAAGCCCGATGTTTGGATATCACATGAATTGTCCGTGAAAAATGTAATGGCCCGAATTAACATCTGCGATTCTTGGCTAAAACGAAATGGAATCGAAGCATTTCTGAAACGAATGGTAACATGAGGTGAAAAGTGGTTAAAATACGACAATGATTTGCGAAAAAGATCATGGTCCAAGAGAGGTGACGCTCAACAAGTGGTCTGAAAGCCAGGATTGACTCCTCGAAAAGTTATGCTGAGTGTTTGGTGGGATTGAAAAGGAATCATCCACAATGAGCTGGGCCAGCCTGGTCGAATAATTGATTCTACATTTTATTGTCAACAACTGAAGAGATTGAAGCATGCAATCGAAAAAACCGACCAGAACCGATCAACAGAAAGAGCTTCGTCTTGCATCAGGACAACGCAGAACTGCCTTAATGAAGTAAAGTTGGCTTCCAGAGAAGCCTGTGAAAATTACTTGTCGCAGTTTTTTGCCGAAATAATGTCTCTAAAAATGGCAAAAAGTGGCTGATCAAAATGGTATATATTTGATTAGAGATAAGAAAATACTTTTTAGACTACCCAATATTTATTAGTATTCGCTTTGCCTAGAGGTCAATCACTTAGTGCAAGCGTTTAGGGTAACTTCTAATTCAAAATAAAATAGAATACTGAGCTAATTATGCTAGGCTATTTTCAATGAGCACTCAGGTAAAATCAATAAGACTTTTTAAAAAATTTACACATTTATATTGAAGTATTATTTCAGATGCTTACACAAATATTCAAGTTCATTGACAGCATTATTAAAATAGTTTTTCTTTTTTACAATAATACTAGAAACACACCAACAATATGCAAATAAAAAACTAATTCCCCAGAGAACCTTTTAGTGATAAGCGTGCTCTTTAGATGAGAGAAACGACACATAACCGATAACAGCCTCATTTGTATCAGATAAATTCTCCTCCTCCTCTGAAGCAAAGTCTGCAATTTTGTAAGACACTTCATCTTCATCCTCGCCCGAAATTGGATCTAAGAAATCGTCATATTCAACTCGCTTCGCCATAATTTCATCGGGAAAGTATACATGATCTGGTGCTAATTTTTCCAAAAGCGCTGTATTTGTTGGCTCAGCAGCAGCACTGCTCACCAGCACAAGCAGAGCGCACTGCTGTAACACGATGAGCTATGCGGGGGCAGAGAATAAATTAAAACCGGTCCAGCTTTTAGCTATTTTTGCATTAAATATTATATGTATCTCATTTCAAATTTTCTCTCACCATTAAAAAAGTGGTAGCAGCAAAGCTGCTGTAACATTTTGCCATATCGGTAAGCTGCTATCAGTTGCGCCTGCCTTGTTTGAGTCGCTAAAGAGCACTACTAACCAATTATATTTGTAGTTAACTTTTATGTGAGTAAACTAGGTAGCAATGTGTGTAGAAATATACTTTAGTATATATGTATGTATTTGTATTTAAAGTAGTGTTTATAATTTTAGGGAATGTTTATACATGTATGAGATTCTTGCTCACATGGAATTTTTCATTTATTTTTTAATGGTGAGAAGAAAGCAACTAAGTGTTGATATTCTTGAAAGAAACTGAGAAAAAATCATTCTCTTAGCTTAGAAGGAAGTATTCTTATATTAGTCTGAATTCTCAATTAAGAAACGCTTTTTTTTCGATTTTAAACTGTCTCCAACTCTAATTACGATCTAGCACACAGTTTCATCTCACACTGCTTACATAAAAACAGTTTGTAGAGGCATACAGCTCTATCTCCCTTTATTTTTAGAGCATCACTATGTGGAAAGCTTCTGAAAACTTCCGAAAATTTCTTTAAATAGCTTTGAAAATGTCACTTTGGCTACCAAGAAACGTGATGGATCCTTGAAAAATAAATTTTTTGTGACCAAAAGTTTAAGCTAAGGACTTCAAAGAACTTTAGTTAAAGAAAAATAGAACACGACGCTGCATAGGCAAAGCCCTATCTGTCCCTAAAATTATATCTTTAAAGCCGTGTTAGATAATTGTAAAAAAAACTTTAATCGAAGACATCAACCATTTCAAGCAAGGCAATAGTCGGATAGGTCCAGAAGCTTCTCTTCTTCTTAATAGCCGAGTTAACAACAGCGCACCAGTCGTTTCTTCTTTTCGCTACAAGGCGCCAATTGGATATTCCAAACGTAGCCAGATCCTTCTCCATCTGGCCCTTCCAAAGTAGTGGAGGTCTTCCTCTTCCTCTACTTTCCCCGGCGGGTACAGCGTCGAATACTTTCAGAGCTGGAGTGTTTTCGTCCATCCGGACAACATGACCTAGCCAGCGTAGCCACCGTCTTTTAGCTCGCTGAACTATGTCAATGTCGTCATATATCTCATACAGTTCTTCATTCCATCGAATGCGATATTCGCCATGGCTAACGAACAAAAATCTGTCGCAGAACTTTTCTCTCGAAAACTCGCAAGGTCAACTCATCAGTTGTTTTCATCGTTCAAGCCTCTGCACCATATAGCACCACATAAGAAAGGAAAATTTGTAGAAGTTAAATTTTGTTAGCTGACTTTACTCGAGTGAAAAGTCTATATCGTAACATCAATTTTCATAAGTTTACAGGCGGCGGAAAAACGATAAATAAAAACCACTCATATTAAAACAAAATTTGAGTTTTGGTTATAAATTGGTTATATATGTATTGGCAACTGAAATTTTTATGCTACCTGTATGTAATTTGATTCAGTGAATCATAAGCAATAAAAACACCAATTTAAATTTTTTTGATGATACGTTGTTTTGTATTTTAAGTAACGATATGAAACTTGCTATGAATATACCAATAATATAATACACAGAGTCATTATGATATATTTCTCACGCTCTGTCCAGAGTGCACGCACGTGAGCGCAAGCACAAGAATGGTTCACATGTTGCAACTGTTGCCCTCAATTACCAGATTACAATACAAAAGCGTAGAGAACTGCCAATCAAAATGCAAATCAAAGAGTTATTTATAGAATTCCCCTCAATCAACAGAATTTTTATTCAATTCTCTTTATTTTATTTCGTAAAAAAAAAATGCGGAACTTTTGATTTGCGCCGACTTAAAACACCCGCAAACGATAGCAGCGCACGAAACGGAGGCAAGGCGGTTATTGATGCAACAAACTCAAGAGAAAATGTTCCCATGCAAATTACGGTGTTTGCTACCACTTCAGCAAACTGCAATAAAATCAAAATACTATATTTACATACATACAAACATTTCTTGTGGCAAGTAATCAATACGACACCCTTTATTAGTTTTACTGCAACTCTTTTATTGAGTAGTTATATACATACATGCATATAGCGTGCTGAGAACAGCGGGGTGGGCTGAAGCCACAAAAGAGTATATGTATGTATATATGTATGATTGTATATATGCTTTTATCTTATTGATACCACATTAAGTCGTGCAATCATTGTGCAATAGCTGATTGCAAGCAGCAAAAAAATCAATCACAACAATAACAAAAGCGAACAGCAAGAGTAGTTGCTGCTCAACATTGACTTCATTATGTTTATTTATAAACAAGAACACAAATTAACCGCTAAGTCAATGTACAGTCATCGGATGATACCGGTTGGCCGGCCGCACGGTTACTTGGTTGACCGGCTGATCGCCAGACCCGACTAGCGGCTGACTGACTAACCAACTCAACTCAACTTGTGGCTCTTTGACGTCTGGAGTTGCAACGCATTTCTCATGTGGCTGAAGCAGCTACTTCATAACATAAACTATTTATGTGTGTGTTGTATGTGTGTGCGAGAGTATTACGTTGTGTTATGGCACATTGCCTTACGCATGCGTGCTTGCTTGTGGACTTGGCCTACTGCAAGATAACCTGTTGCACTGCCGCATTGCTTATCTTGTCTCACCAATGCTTTTTTTGCTTTTGTTGTTTTTTTATGTCATTATTTTGCGATGTCTTGCATGCAACCAGCTGATGTCTGTTGCACGAGTTTGGTCTCTGATTGAAAACGATTAATATAACAGCGACACATGGGGTCATTCCAGGAGGAGTGGTGATTTGGGTGGAGTTTTGAACAAGAGCTGCGATTAAGCGGCGACACTAGGCGTGTCGATCAATTTTTTTCATATTTCATTAGGTATAGCTTTGAAAAGAAATAAAATCGAAATTTTGATCCGTTAAAAAATCAAACTTTTAAGTGTAAAGTCCTCCTTGAAAACAAAAAAACGTAATTTTTCCACCGTACTTTTTCATCATAAGGTCAGAAAACGTAGTCCAGAAAATTTTTTTATATATAGCTCAAGTAGCTCACGACGTTCGGTCTTAGATCAAGTATCCTCTGGGTAGTCAAAGAACATCCGATTGAGGATGAGCTAAACTCAGAAGGCAAATCATCCCCTCCCCAGTGTTATGCGCTTAGTTTGGGACCCATCACGTTAAAAACCCTACCAATGAAAAGAAGACAATAACCTCGGATTCTGATGTCACAAAAGCAAACATTTCTTTTTAGATTTCGTTCAACGAGAAGATCAAAATCAATGCAGCAGTGAAGGACCTTTTTCTTTGGGCCGCCGAAAATCGCTGAAAAGTTTGAAAAATCGCTTTCCTTTATGCGGTCTTACTAGGTGTGTCCCTTAAGTTGGGTTAAGAGTTCGATTATAAAATTGACCCCACATTGAACGCCTGCTCGCTGTGTTACCTAAAACTTCCTTATATTAGAACATAGATAAGATTCTTAAAGCGCTTTGAACCCATCACAATGTCTCGTCGTCGGGGGTAAGTTTGCTGAGCTCATCGTCAGTCTTGTAAAGCCTGGACACTGGAGGAGACAATGCCTGGATGTTCACAAATCAACCTAATTCATACTACTTTGACAGCTTTCGACCGTCAACAATTTTAACCTTACTGCATGAATGTCTATTGGGCAGTGTCCAATAAGAACAACTACTATTGCGCAAAGATGAATTTTGTTAAGGGCAAGTATTGCTCTCATGTTATCTACTCCAGATCAAAAGGAACTTGCAGTCGCACAGGAGCGAACCATCGTTCAGCGCCTGCTTAGCGCAAGCCAGGTCCATTGGATCCCTGCTCGAATACAAGACGTCAATAGATATCCAACTCGATCCGATTGCGATGTAAATGGGCACGGTTGGTCAAGGAGGTCAGTGGTTTAAATGAGGATTCCTTATTCCATTCCTACTCCTGCTAGATGGATGAGAAAACTGTGAGAAACCAAACGAGCTTAAAATTGTCAAAATGTTCCTAGCTAACTGTTAGCTTTAAATTGTTAAATTAATCAAATGGATTTCATGAAGAGTTTCTCAGTCGGAATTACACTCAACCTCCTTTCATGCTCTCTACGCACCATTTCTGCAAAAAAAAAATTAAGATAGATATTTTCTCAGATCGATCGAAATGCAACGGTATTTAAGACTTAAGCCACTGTTGCCGCTTCAGTGAGCAATCGTAGTCAACAAATCGAAGAACTTGCTGCGAAAGTAATTTGCACTTTGAAACTTTCAACTGACTGAGCAGGGAAAATGCAAAGAAAATTTATACAAATCTAAAAATCAACTGGAAATAAGAAATCAAAGTAATTTTTTTTTTTTTTTTCGCTTTTTGTTTTTGCTATCAGCAAATGCACTTACATCAGCCGCGTCTTACGCTTTTGACAAACGCATGCACGTCTTTCAAACTGCCAGGCGGCGCAGAAATAAACAATAACAAAAGCAGCAACCGCAACAGTAGTAACAACAACAACAATAGATATATGACAAATGCAGTCAATGGCACCGCAAGCCACAGCCACTCAACGTTGTTGTTGTCATGGTAACTTTTTTGTACTCCTACATGATTGCTACTCCAGTCACTGCTGCCGACGCCGCTATTCATTTGCCGCACGACTGCGTCTGCCGATTGGGCGCTGATGCGCAAATGTGTCAGCGACATAGCGGGTGGACGGACATACCTAAACCTCCATATATATATATATATATATGTATATATCATATATGCGCTCAAAGGTGTTTCTTCATTTGTTTGTGTGTTTGTGCTTTAGTAGGGACACTACTTTCAAGTTGAAATATCAACTGTCAACTTCTAAGCAGCAAAACAATTGCTGATTTCACACACACACACACTCTCACGATTTTCTTGGATTTTGCGTTTTTTTTTTCGCTGCAGTTTTGCTGTTACCGACTAACTTACTGAGAAAAATCATAAACATATGAGATAAATGAAGTAAGACAAACCAGTTCGAAGTAACTGTGCAACAAACAGCTCTAAGAAGGTGTGCGGTAAAGCGGCGTTGCAAGTTTTCAGCGCTTGCCGGGGGCACTGGGTTATGTTTACCTCTGCGTG